TGCATTTTGCTTCTTTTGAAGTTTGAATGATTTTTAGAAAGTTCTGGTTTTTTTGAATGTTATGTGGGATTGGGATTATTTCAGCTGAAAGCGGATGGTGAAAGAGCTTCGCGTGAGGTAAAACTGCTTTTATTAGGAGCCGGTGAGTCTGGCAAAAGCACTATTGTAAAGCAAATGAAAATTATTCATGAAACGGGATACAGCGACGAAGAGCGCAAGGCTTATAAACCTGTCGTTTATTCCAATACAATTCAAAGTATGATGGCTATTATTCGAGCTATGGGACAATTAAAGGTGTTTACAGCTTCAGCAATTTTTCTAGCATTTTAGATCGTGATCCTTACTTTTGTAATGAGATCACTTTTCGAAAGAAGTTTTTCAGATTGACTTTTCACATCCTGCGCGCAGCGATGACGCTCGTCAATTCTTCATGCTTGCTCAGAGTTGCGATGAAGGGGAGTTGCCTCCGGAATTAGCTGTTTGCATGAAGCGTTTATGGCAAGACCATGGAGTTCAAGAATGTTTTATGCGTTCGAGAGAGTATCAGTTGAACGATTCTGCTCCATATTATTTGAATTATTTAGATAGGTGAGACCCTGGGAAAATATTTGCTTAATTGCTCGTTTTTATACCTAATTTCATGCTAGTTTACTGTATTTCCTAACTTTTGTTCAGGATATCTCAGCCTGGTTATGTGCCAACTCAAGATGACGTTCTTCGAACGCGTGTTAAAACCACGGGTATTGTTGAAACACATTTCACCTATAAGGACCTTCATTTCAAGTAACTTTTGTTTTTATTAAGCATTATGACGTTTATAAGAATTCTTAGTATGTCTGGTAGGTTTGGCAATAATTAACAGTTAGGGTCTTGAAACAAATTTGCTGCTGACTCTTCGAATTTTAAAATGAATAAAGTGGGCATTGATTTACCACAGATTTTTTTGTAGGGTTTGTGAGACCTCTTCTGTGAGGCCGGCATTTTCAAAGGAAGTTAATGCTTGATCAGATCTTTGTTTTACCGCTTTTTGGATTGAGAAACTGTTTTTACAGAAAAAGTTATTTGTAGGAGAAGTTTTTTTACATTGTCCTTGTTTTTTAATCATTTTTGATATATAGTTTTAGTTTTTTATCGGCTTCTAAGAACTTTGCTATTGATTACTAAACTATAGAGTTTTAATCATTATTTGCTTTTTTGTGCCATTTAAACTAAGTGTTTAAATTTAGCCGGTCTTTTTTTGTGCTGCCTGTAGAAATGTCTTAAATGAGGTTTTTCTGACTACTGGGATTGAAGGCGTTTTTAGTGAACCTTTTTTTAATTTTTAAGGATGTTTGATGTTGGAGGCCAACGTTCAGAAAGAAAAAAGTGGATACACTGTTTTGAGGGAGTGACAGCAATAATATTCTGCGTTGCTATGTCAGAGTATGATATGCGGCTTGCCGAAGACGATGAAATGGTATATTTTTACACTACTTTTCTCAATACCTTTTATCGAAGTTTTATTTCTTGAGTTCATTTAAATCTTTCTTGCGCAGGTGCCTCTGACACATTTATCTATTAATTTTTAGCTGCTTTAAATGGTTTAATTCACATTTTCTTCTAATAACCTTCTAAATTTTTAGAATCGTATGGTGGAAAGCATGAAGCTGTTCGATTCAATATGCAACAACAAATGGTTTACTGACACTTCAATAATTTTGTTCCTGAATAAGAAAGATTTGTTTGAAGAAAAAATTAGGAAGTCACCGTTGACTTTATGTTTTCCAGAATACACCGGTATGCATTTCATTTCTTAAAATTGGTACTTTTATCTTTGCAATATTGTTTTCATCTTTTTAAGGCACTAACACCTACGAAGAAGCTGCTGCTTATATTCAGATCCAGTTTGAAAATCTTAATAAGAGGAAAGACGGTCAGAAAGAAATTTATACACACTTCACTTGTGCGACTGATACCAACAATATAAGATTTGTATTTGATGCGGTAACAGATATAATTATTAAGGAGAATCTTCGACAGTGTGGCTTGTTCTAACTTAGGTGTCCTTTGTCTTATTATCTATAAGTATGTCGAGTCTTTTATCAAACAGCATTGGATACTGTATAATTTTAGTTGCTTTTGCAGCTTTTTTTTAGGTAATAAACTTTCTAAGTTTTCTTTTTTACCTGTTTTAGGTGAAAGTGATTTTTGGCATTTGTGCGTGTCACTTTTGATAGTTTCGATCAGTGGATATTCAGAACAGATTTGTTATTTTAGCTGGAAAAGCTTTTTACAAATTCTTCTTGAGATCTTACTGAAGTTGTACAGGTGCCAATAGAATTTTTTTCTTGACGGATATTTCCTTACTCAGCACGACGTTATTTAATAATTTCTTAATAAGATTTGTTTTGAGCTTGTCCTCTATTTTAAAGGAATTTCAAATGTCTTGATTAAATATGAAGATTTTTGACATGCTTACTTTTTCTGTTAATCAGGAACGAATTCGTATGTAAAAAGTTAGAACTGTTGTTGTTATTTTTTCATTTTCCAACGTCTTCCATAATATATTTTTTTTCTTTTTGCGTTTTAAGGAAATACATTACTGATGTCGTTTGGTTGCGACAGAAATAATAACAGCAGTTCTAACCTTACATACATATTAGTTCATTCCTGATTAGTATGAAGTGGATTGCTGTTGTGAATTTCCATGTTTAATTTAGGCCTCATGATATCTTTTTAAACTAGAGATGAGCTTGTAACGATTCTTGTAAAAAAAACCTTTGTAAACATTGATGTACCTGACGAGGCATGAATGAGTTCGAAATTACGTTGGTATTTTAGAGGAAAATTTGAAAAAAAAAACTTCCTGACTTAAATCCACAAATTTTTTTCTAAAACTGTCAACAGAGGTTGCTAGAAGGGATAGACATCATCTTTTAGAAGTTATTATTGGCTAAAATGAATAGGCAAGGAAGTTTTGTTGTTTTATTGGCTTACAGAAAGTAAAAATGAAAGTTCTGCAAAGTCACCTAAAATCATAGAGTAGACCGGAAGATGAGTTTAAGAAGCGCTCCAACGGAGCTCAGTGTACATAGTTTATGATGTTCATGATTGTTGATGGTTCTCTTTTGCTTCTATATTTTCCTTCAGTCTTCTCTTGCAACTTGTTCTCAGTACCTGTTTGTTTTTTTTTTTTTTTTTTTTTTTTTT